AGCTTAACGAGTTACAAATATTTTGGAGTTAATTTAAGTGGTTGGGGGGCTAGCCCCTCATTGAGAAATGGCCATAACTCTGGTACACCGAGGTTATAAACTTTAAAAAGTTGGTTTCAAATGGTTACAAATTAAGATTAACGAGTTACAAATATTTTGGAGTTAATTTAAGTGGTTGGGGGGCTATCCCCTCATTGAGAAATGGCCATAACTCTGGTACACCGAGGTTATAAACTTTAAAAAGTTGGTTTCAAATGGTTACAAATTAAAAGGAAAGTTATGAAGTCCAGTCAAAATGAAATCTACCAAAACAGCATCAACATTGCATTCACAAAACAACAGCTTCAGTGTTATTACACGACAGCGAACCTTTATAATCCCAACGGATTGCTGTTATCATTCGTACATATTATATTGAATCACTGAATATAATTACTTAGATATTATTATTATCAATTATGTTTCAAACAAATATATTTAATTTATGAGTAGCTATATATTTGCATGGCAACTGAACTATATTAAAATAAACGTCGATATATTTTGATAATTTTTTAAACATTTTATTAAAAATTTTAATAAGAATTTTAAAGAAAACTTTAATATGGATATGATGAATAAAGAAGAATTTATTGACTCGATGTATCGTCTATTGAAGCGGTTCCCAACCTGGGGGTAATTACCCCCTAAGGGGTAAAAACACGATTTTTTTGGGGGGTAAAAGTTAAACTTGTATTTTAAGTACTTATTATCCATTTACTCATGTGTAATATGACTGTAAATGAAATTATAATAATATAATATTGTTGTTAATAGTTTTGGGAAATACCTTATCTTATGTCCTAATGACACTGATAATAATAATAGACTCTATTGTAAGTATCGAGTACAATCTAATAACTTTTATATAATTCATAATAATAAACATCTTACCTAATACATGTCCACATACAAATTAAATGTCATTCTATAAATTAATTTAAGTCTTTGTTTAATTAAAAAATAATCATACACACAATATGTTACAATTCTAATGAAGGGATTAGGGGATGATTATTAGATATAGACATATGGAAATAGATAATAAGAATATATTTAAGTGATGATAAAAATATTTAATCTTCGTCAAAAAGCATAAAAAGTTTATATAAGATCCTACATAAGTTGTTATAAAAATTGCAATTCAAAAATCTAAAAATTTCATATTATGCACGATTATTTTTTATGAGTCTTTGAAGTTCAAATTTTAACAAAATTAAATATTTAAACCAAGTCTTGAATCAATTTTAAATATTGGTAAAATAATCATTAAAAATCTTTTAAACCGGTAATATTATAATCGAAAATTTTTGTTAATAGTATTCAACATTTATAATTTATATTGAAATGGATAAGAAAATTAAAAACGATGATTTTATATAGGTCTATCTATCTATCAAAATAATAATCGTTTTATGGTTTGTATAACAAATCAATTATGAATTTATCATCATTTAAAATAATACAGCAATATATGATTACAAAATATGTAAAAGTGGTATTTATAATTGAAAAATTGAGGTATATTAAACACAACCAAACCAATATTATTGTCCAAAAAAAATCTAACACTTTTCATTAATCGAAATTGATAATAAAATCAAAAATTTGTATTTTAAAATCTCAAGCCCTGATTTAATCAAATAATAACGATTTTAGTTAGGTATTTTGTAGTAATTTAAAAATATTTGTAAGGACTTGAAATTTTGACGTAGTAGGTATTATTGTTTTTTTTTAAATTTGTTGTCAGCTAACGTAGCGTGATATTATATAACACTAATTATTACAGGAACAATGTCGATGAAGATGACACTTCCAGTTCCGATTCTAACCTAACCCACGACACAAACAACGCTAAACCGTCTTACGAAAACCTAATGTAGTGAGTACATAAACGGCGAACGAAGTGAAAATAATAATATTATAATCTATGCCTACACATAATAATATTATTATATTTTTATCACCGTCTGTTCTTTCTTTCTGCTACAAAACAATAATTGCCTGCACGGCTGCACCTCTGCAGTGGCGGCGTGAACATCTATTTCACGAAGCGACCGCTTGGCACGTCCACTTTTAGGCGCAAATAGGGGGGGCTTAGGGGGTATTAGCACCCCCAATTTTAAAATTAGCATCATCTAATAAATATGTGTTTATGTATCAAAATGTCTCTTTACAACAAAAAAACAAACCAAAAACAGTTTATCATCAGACACGAGGGTATCAGAGTATAATGAATGAAACAATGAACTCGACAATTGTAATTTTATCGAATTCAAATCTATTTAGAATATAAATCATTATTTTCCAATGTTTCTACTGAGCCCGGTCGTTGTGGTCGGTTATATTATTATCAGTGTTATCACGTTCAGCAGCGACTCAGCTCTACGACAATTTATAGTATCGCGAGTATTTACTAATAGAAACATTCCCGTGTCCACATCTAATTCGGACAAAAACCTAATTACGATATACGAATTACTTGTCAGTTGGTGTTCACTGGAGTCTGGAGTTCCAAGTTTCCAACAGCCTGTGTGATTGTGTATGCCGAATGATATAATATAGTAGGTACAGATATAAGTATATAACTGATTTTTGGAATAACTTTTGTTCTAATCAATATTTATAATGTTTTTTTATAATTTTAACAATTTTTGTCACACATTTAAGTAGCTTAATTTTTTTTTTTTTTTTGTCAAGTCTGTCTATTACACACTTACACGCCTTGTACACTAATATTTATTTGTCATATTTTTTGAATAAAATATAAATAATTTGTTTTAAATTTTTAATAAATTAAAATTTACTATTGTATTAATTTTTATAAAATGTACCTAATGCACTATAACTATTCAATGTTAAATTGTCATAAAACCATTTTTTCTCAAAAAAGTCATAAGTGCCTCATAGGTATAATTTAATTTAAATACCCAGGAAATGCAGAGCTTAAGCACCCTCAGTTTTTATGTTGAAATTGCGCCTATGTATTAAAGTGGGAGGGGTGGGTATATATTTCATTCGAGATATTTTTATTTATATAGATTTTTAAGTTCTTTAATTTTTCAAAATTTGAAATGAACAATTTTAACGATGCCCCTTCCACCAGCTCTACAGACACAAACAATGATAAACCGTTAAAAAAGAACCGAACTCAACTGTCATATACACAAAAGTCATTAACGACCTGCTCGAAAACAATCCGAACCCCGATTACGGACATTTCCAGTCTTTCGCCAACGCAATGTAGTGAGTACATAAACGGCGAACGAAGTGAAAATAATAATATTATAATCTATGCCTACCCATAATAATATTATTATATTTTTTATCACCGTCTGTTTTTTCTTTCTGCTACAAAACAATAATTGCCTGCACGGCTGCACCTCTGCAGTGGCGGCGTGAACAGCTATTTCACGAAGCGACCGCTTGGCACGTCCACTTTTAGGCGCAAATAGGGGGGGCTTAGGGGGTATTAGCACCCCCAATTTTAAAATTAGCACCATCTAATAAATATGTGTTTATGTATCAAAATGTCTCTTTACAACAAAAAAACAAACCAAAAACAGTTAAATGAATGAAACAATGAACTCGACAATTGTAATTTTATCGAATTCAAATCTATTTAGAATATAAATCATTATTTTCCAATGTTTCTACTAAGCCCGGTCGTTGTGGTCGGTTATATTATTATCAGTGTTATCACGTTCAGCAGCGACTCAGCTCTACTACAATTTATAGTATCGCGAGTATTTACTAATAGAAACATTCCCGTGCCCACATCTAATTCGGACAAAAACCTAATTACGATATACGAATTACTTGTCAGTTGGTGTTCACTGGAGTTCCAAGTTTCCGACAGCCTGTGTGATTGTGTATGCCGAATGATATAATATAGTAGGTACAGATATAAGTATATAACTGATTTTTGGAATAACTTTTGTTCTAATCAATATTTATAATGTTTTTTTATAATTTTAACAATTTTTGTCACACATTTAAGTAGCTTAATTTTTTTTTTTTTTTTTGTCAAGTCTGTCTGTTACACGCAGTGGCGCAACTAGAACTTATGGTGCCCTAGTAACAAAAATTACTTGGTGCCCTACAATATATTATTTTCCTTATATATTTATATTTTATAGTATAGATATAAAATATATATATACATATAAATTATACAAATTATAACATGGGTAGGTAGGTTCTTTAATTCATAAAAAAAAATTAATACATGTACATGTTATCAAAAGGTAGGTAAGTGGATGTCGCTCTGCTGTACTGTATAGGTTACAAGTGGGTCACTGTATAATGGATGGTATTAAATTTGAATGCAATGATATAATATCATTGTATAAGAAAAACGATTCTGAGCGGAGACGGTATGTCAGTCTAGGTATAAGACATATTATATACTTTTCTATGGAATTATATTAAAAATTAATAAAATTAAATGGAATTTATGAATAAATTCCTTAAAATATGCACAGTCTTATCATGAGCATAATTCTTATTCCTTATACTATGGTAGATTGTATGTATAGGCCATAATATTTTGATTTTTCAGTTTCATATATCCCCGACTAATATTTTTAAATTACAACAAAAACAAAGATCGTTAATATTGATTTTAATATGTAATTTCGTCCAAATTTGAATTTAAAATGTCTGTAAAAAATAACTGTGTTCATATATTTTTTAGATTTTTTGGTTACAGTATAAACTATTTATGAGAACCTTTTTTTTTAAATTTGCAATCTTCAGCTATAAAAACTAAACATTTTATAATTTATTAATTACAATGATTGATAATTTTCGAGATTTATAACTAATTGAATGTTCCACTGAAAGAAAAATCTATTTTCGTAATTTTTACAAGAAATACCTTCATTCATCTTTATTACCACAATAATATCTTTATTCAAATCTTGATAATTTATGTTATAATAAAATAAATACCAAAAACACAGTCATCAGATGGTGCCCCCTAAAATGTCAGCTGCCCTGGTGCCCTGGTGTAAGTACCACCCAACACCCCCGCTTGTTGCGCCACTGGTTACACGCCTTGTACACTAATATTTATTTGTCATATTTTTTGAATAAAATATAAATAATTTGTTTTAAATTTTTAATAAATTAAAATTTACTATTGTATTAATTTTTATAAAATGTACCTAATGCACTATAACTATTCAATGTTAAATTGTCATAAAACCATTTTTTCTCAAAAAAGTCATAAGTGCCTCATAGGTATAATTTAATTTAAATACCCAGGAAATGCAGAGCTTAAGCACCCTCAGTTTTTATGTTGAAATTGCGCCTATGTATTAAAGTGGGAGGGGTGGGTATATATTTCATTCGAGATATTTTTATTTATATAGATTTTTAAGTTCTTTAATTTTTCAAAATTTGAAATGAACAATTTTAACGATGCCCCTTCCACCAGCTCTACAGACACAAACAATGATAAACCGTTAAAAAAGAACCGAACTCAACTGTCATATACACAAAAGTCATTAACGACCTGCTCGAAAACAATCCGAACCCCGATTACGGACATTTCCAGTCTTTCGCCAACGCAATGTAGTGAGTACATAAACGGCGAACGAAGTGAAAATAATAATATTATAATCTATGCCTACCCATAATAATATTATTATATTTTTTATCACCGTCTGTTTTTTCTTTCTGCTACAAAAGTGGCGGCGTGAACAGCTATTTTTGCCAAAAGATACAAGATACTATTATTGTAAAAATAATTTCGTCGCGGATTGTATTTGTACGAAAAATATTGTCCAGGTGCAATCCAGCCGAAAAATCATTAAACTGTTTAAATAATTATCCATCAATAAAAAAACTATTTATAAAATATAACACAAGTCTATGTTCATCTGCTCCCGTTGAGCGTTTATTTTCATTTGCTAGTTTTGTGCACTCACCAAGTAGATCTAATCTATCCGACCACATGTTTGAAAAATTAATTTTCCTTAAAGGTAACCAAGATTTTATTTATAAAAAAAACATTTAATTTAAACTAACCATAACTTGCATAACTATTAACTATTAAGTCCATAAGATCATAAAAAATTTCATTTATTTATTTATTTTTGACCATAAGTCCATAGACCATAACCAATTTTATTATACACATAAAGCAACTATATATAAGTATAAATTAAGATGTAATTGTTATGCACTTTCTTAATTTTGGTGTATTTATATTATAAATGTGATGTATTAGTTATAAATGTATAATGTGTACCTATTGACTTATTATATTATAATGTGTACAGTGTACCTATTGACTTATTATATTATTTGATATGATTTTGACTTTATAAGTATTTATAAATACTATTATTATGTAGGTATAATAATAATATTATGTATTTATTATGTATAGACGGTATAGTGAATTGTGTATAGACGTTTTACGTTTAATAATTAATAAAATTTGATTGGAAATATAAAAGTATCATGTATCTTTGATGTATCAAAGATACATGTATCTTGTATCTTTTCTACATTCACAATGTATCTTGTATCTTGTATCTTGATACACAAAATGTATGTATCATGTATCATGTATCATGATACTTTTTTTTGAGTATCTTGCCCAACCCTGCCGCTTGGCATGTAAAAGTGGGAGTGGTGGGTATCTCGACGATAGACCAGTTTGGCCGTTTACAACCTAAGTATAACATTTATGTACTTTTACGAATCGCATTTGGTGGTGGGTTCGATGCGGGTGTTAGCCGTACACACAACATTAACACTGAAACAATAATTGGCGGACAAGTAGTTGTCACGATTTAAGATATTTAATACAGGTTATACCTACAACTAATCGGAAAAAAATCGCCCTCTCGATTAGTTATGTACAGTGGCG